ATGATGATGCATTTGTCTCAAGTTTAAAACTTCATTAAAATTTAATGGACCCATGTGAACAGCTCCGAAAGCTGTGAGTGGAGTAATGTTTACATCACCTCAAAGCCCTTAGTGAATAGCATTAGCCTAATAATCTGTGACTGCCATCTCTTTGCTAATCGTTGCTTTCTCCAACCATGCTTATTAACAGAGGATGAAAAGTAGACATAAATCTTCCCTGTACCTCTCAAAGACAGGCAGGATGGAATGTTTTCTCAAGATGGAATTGGTCTACAACATCCTTCAAAATTCCCAAACTTTCATACATAGATGCTAGATACTGCCAACTGTGAGGAGAAAGGATGAGGGCCACATTCAGGCTAACAGCCACTACCATCTATTAAACTACACGTGCTCATCACCACCCTGGATATTTTATATGTTGTCACATTAATTTGATTCAGGGCCCTAGAAAGCAAATACTCCATCGCTGTTGCTCTCAATATACCTGAGTAAATGTGGATTTAAAGGGATTGATTAATGTGGCCAAGGTCACATAAACAGGGCTGAACCACAAGCCAAAATCAGGCTGTTTGTTTGACGGCATAATGTAAGCTCCTAAGCTTTGCCCATCACAGCAGAATTTAAACTAGAAATAACTTGATGAACACCCACCTCATTTGCTCATGAGATAAAAGTAAAGATGTCTACAATTGCCCTTTTCTAGTCCCTGGCTGTAGCACCGCCACCTGAAGTCACAAAAAGGTGCTTTCAATGTTAATAGGTTTTAGTGGTTGTCTGCCACAAAAGCTACTGAAAAAACTCCAACAATGATAGACCAATTTAAATCAATTAAAGATTGGTGTGTGGGGCTCACATAATGGTGCAGTTGGTAAAGGCACTTGCTGTCAAACCTGATCACCTGAGTTCAGTCCCCAGAACTTAGGATGGGAGGAGAGAATCAATCCCTAAAACATGTCCTCGAAGCGGGGCTAGAGAGATGGTTCAGAGGGTAAGAGCACTGGCTGCTCTTCCAGAGGTCGTGAGTAGTTCATAACCACACGGTGGCTCACAACCATCTAGAATGAGATCACAAGATCTCACCCTCTTGGGGTGTGCAGGCGTCCATGCAGACAGAACATTGTCTATTTGATAAAAAGTTGTCCTCAAAGATCCACGAACCCATGAGTGTGCACGTGTACCTACTCACCTTCACACAAGTAAGTGTAATTAAAAATAATAAATCTGTAAAAGCTTTGATGCATCTTAACTTATCAACATTGTAAGACTTGGGGAAGAGGAACCCAGCTGTGCTTCTCAGCCCCACGCATACTGTCAGATGGGCATAAGGATGGGAATAATGATCGAGAGAACTGAAAAACAGTCATTAATGCTCAGGGTGTGGAATAGGAGACTGTGTAAGACATGACCCCCCAGTCTTAAATCACACACCCACATACACTTTGCTCTACTGTCTTGGTGTCCATGCACATCACTGGAACTCATAGACACTGAGTACAGAAGTGACCCTGAGATGCTTCAAGGGTAGCTAACAGCCTCCCTGCTCTGTGGGACACTCACTATAGCAGCCATCCTTGCAGAGTTGAGCATTTCATTCTCTTTGCAGAGCAGAGCATTTCATTCTCAAGCAAAGCGTAAGTTTTCCATCCACTATTTATACGTTGTCCATGTACCACCATTTCTTGTCAATACAGTACCATTAGGGACTTCGGGAAGAGCAGAATTTGGCCACTCCTAGAGTCTCTAGCCACAATCCCATCATGCTGCACCATTAACCTCTGACATGAACCAGCTAAAATAGTGGTGTCAGTAGCAGTCAGGATGATCTGGGAAGGCAAGATATTTAAATATTTAAGCAGGAGGATTGACAACTGCCCCTTGAAAACCCGTCTTTTGCTCCACTTCATGCTGTGGGAAGTTCTACCAAGCTTCTATTATAGTACAATGCTAAGCCATCTAATGTCTCAGCCTCTACATCTCTAGTCCAGCAAACTTCAGAAAGAATAGTTGGCTGGTGAACTATCCAAGGCACTGTGTCTTCTCACGCGGATGGAGACTTTGATCTCGTGTTTCGAAACCAACAAACACTCATGGGTAAGATACAAAGATGCCACAGTCCGTTTCCTCAGGGGCTCGTGAGAAAACCACAGACCTACCTATGCGTAGGGAAGCCTTGGGCAAATTCTGTTTGCTACAGGGGAAAGGAGTGACTCTGGAGGGTGGGGAATAGTTGCATAAGTTATCCGCACAATCCCTCCAAGCCCACCCAGGCCCTTCTGTTTCCTTTGCCTATATTAAGCCCAGGACCTTACCCTCACCTGAAACCATTGTAACCCTTACACTGTAAACTTTGGGACCCTCCTTAAGATTAACTCTAGCTCTCTTTGGTATAAATAAATACATGAATGCATATACAAACCCTTTGTTCACTCCCAGAGGAAGGCAAATGGCTAGTCTCACTGGTAGGACTAGCAAGGTACTGTCTATCTCAGTACAGGCCACGCTCACTTGCAGGATTGAAAACTAAACAGCATTTCAACCTTGGATGTAAACATGGAAGATTTACTTAAGCAAACAGATATAGATAAAAATCTCCACTTCTGATTTTCTCTGCTTATCATAAATGCCGGTGATATAATGGGAAGTCAATCTACGTTTTGTAAATGAAAACATCAGAAGAATTGGAGAAGTGGTAAAATTTCAGCAGCACAGGCAGAAAGCCAATACCACACAACAGTCAGAGGAAGGGTAGACTAAACAGGCACATATAGGCCAGACGGTGAAGAGGGGTTATGGAAGTTATGTTCCTCATGTTTACCGGCACCTGCTCAGATAACAGCAAAGCCATCTCTTCCTTCTAGCATTTCATCCTGAAACACTGAGCGCAGAGAAGAGAAGCTATAAGCTGCTGACACTCCAAGCACCCAGCATTGACTTTACCTGTCTGCCCAAGGCCTTGTAAACCGCCACTCTAGATCAATCCATTTGCTTGTTCTCTATTAATTGAAAGCCTATTCTATAAGCACAGATTGTATAGACATTACTAAAGGCAGTCTTTAGTGGATGTAGCTTACAGGTCCCTGATGCTTTTCATGCTGTCTCTCCACAGAAGCTATTCTGAGCCTTCCCAAGCTCCCACTCACAACCATGCAACCTTGTCTTTGGCTTCACTGAGAAAATGGTACGATTTGGGCTTGAAATACACAAGCTTGCTGCCCACACCTGCCTCCATCGGCTCTGTGCTCACGCCATGCCCTGGTTCTTAGATCCATCATCTCACTCAGCAATCTTGCCCCATCTAATAGCTCTTTCCATTCTTCACATAAACACACTCAAAGTCCAATTTTAAAGCAAAGTGAAAAGGAACAACAGAGCCACAATGCTCTCATCACCCAAACACTCCCTAGCTGTATCTGGGTTCCTAACAGCCAAGCCTCAGGAGAAAGCCTGCTGTCTGCTCCAAATTAACAGTGCAGCCAAATGCACACCACCCACCCTGAAAACCACTCACGGCCACGTGACCACACAAGCCCCAAGTTCACAAATTCAGGTCACCTCTCAATTCCTCCTGGACCTGCCCTCTCTGAAGCACCTGACATTTAGCAACTTCCATCTTGAAACTCTCCAACGTTGGGTTCTTACGACATCACTGCCTGGAGATCCTACTTCTTAAGAATGCTCTCACTCGGTCTTCTGGTCAAACCTTACATTTTAGCATTTTCCCAGGATTCTATTCTTGGCTTTCCTCTTCTCAAACTAAACTCTCCCTGGGGAGAAGGAGCAGCAAAGCACTGTTTACACTATGAAAGATCCCACATGCCCATAAATCAATAAGACTAAATCTAAATCCATTCGCTTCCTCTCTCCGCTCATCTCCCTACCGGGGCTCACCTCCATCACGGTTCTTTCTGTTTGCTTACCTGCCTGTCTCCTGTGCGCTGTGCACCTAAGGGACAGACACCAGACACTAGTGTCAGTAAGAGGTGACTCCCTGATGTGAGGGCTGGGAGGGCAGGTAGGTGCGACACTTGGCAAAAGCAAGGAATCACAGGGGGGCTAAGGAGTTTGTCACTGCAGGAAGGACCACAGGAGCTCGCTGGACTAAGGAAAATCTAGAGGGAGATTTGCATATACAAATGTGTATCTCCATTTTAAGATTTCTCTGCTTATCACAAATATCGGTGATATAATGGGAAGTCAGTTTATATTTTGATTTTTCTAAGTGAAAGAAGCAGAACGGGACAAGTGTCAGGATGTCAACAGCCAGAGGCAGAAAGAAATCAGTCAGGGGACAGGAAGGCTGAGGCACCGCGTGCCGACAGGAATCGCACATGATTCTATGACTGAGTGGGAGGTGGGATTTGCAGGTGACGGGGAACCAGCTAGACCCTTTAGTTTATGCAATTTTCCACTACAAAAGAGCAGGCACAGAAAGGCCCTCTTCAAGAGTTCCCTGACAAATTACCTAAGCGAGGAGAAATGAAAGCCTGAACTACAGCACCAACCGCCCGCAACAACAACTGAGGTGAAAATAAGAGGAGAAAATATTATTTCTTAAGACTGGAGATAAATAACAAAGGTTTTAAATGCTTGAGAACAATAGAACTAAACGAAAGACTAAAGGAAGTAAAAACCTTAAGAACACAAAAATTAAAAAGTGAAAAGGAAAATAATCCTTGTTTGTTTGTCTCTTTGCAACGCAGTCTCACTGTGTAGCTCAGTCTTCCCTGGAATTCATGGCAATCCCCCTGCCTCAGCCTCCTGAGTACTAAGGATTATAGGTATGCGCTACTAGTGTGTGTGTGTTATGAATATATATTTTAAACATACATATTCAAATGTATGTATTTGAAAAACATTTACATCCAAGTTCAGTGAGCCAATAACTGTGAAACACTTGTCCGAATTTATTGTGTCGGTAAGGACTGACTCGAACATATGCGCATGCTTAGGAAAAGCCACCCCACAGCCCTGGGACAGGGAACTGAACGTAACCGTACCGTGAAACTGTTGTTGGCATTTTTTGTGCTTGCTTCAGCGACACTGGCATCTGAGAGGTCAACTTCATCAAATATCAAGGACTGTTGATGGACAAGAACACAAACACATTATGTAGAACTCCAGCTCCAGGCTCTTTGGTCTGTTTTCACTACCAGCCCATGACTGTAAAAGTGAGGGCAAGAATTAGGACTCAAAACTGAAAGTCAACTTAGGGACACTCAACAGTTTTGTCTCAAGAAGGATGGATGAAACCATTACAACATGGCTACCCTATGAAGCTAAGCAGCTTCCACAGAAATGGCCGCCGTCCTCTGGACGCCTATCTGTCACGGTCGCACAGAACCATCTGAGGGACACCCATGATCCCACGCCCACACCCACAACCACAAGCTTGTGGCCCACAGCTTTGTTGAGTGTAGACTGAGCACTAGTACAGGTCACAGTGACTGACTGAATGCTCTGGACCTTACAGTCCGTGTCTATCAAAAATCTGTCTAAGTAAGATAGTTTTCTAAATAAACAGAAAACCGTGCTCCTTTCAAACTCTTAAGCATTGTTTTAGTCAAAACATGTCAGTGGTGAAAGCTCCAGAGAGATGGGATTGTTTTTTTAAAGCAATAATTCAGCCATTCGTAAATATGAATTAATTACTATCATCTTTCCCGCTTTCAGTGAGTTGGTCACTGCTCAACATTCAAGCCAGTGGACTTCCAGCACCAGCGGAGTAACAGTTCACCTCCACGCTGTAGAGAAGCATGTCTCCCCTTTCTGATAGCTTCCACCCTCCCAGGCTTCCAGGGGGTTACATTAAGTTCACCATAATTCTATTAATTCACCTTAATAAAATTAGACTTGCTTCCCAACTGAAAGGGGTGTACAATACGGCCAATAGATGAAAAAAGGCAAAGCTAAAGGCAGTGCAAGATGGACTCTTAAACATGGAGGATGGGAGTTAGCAATGATTCTCTCAGCAGGAAACAAGTCCAATATCTGATACATGGGACCACCTGAGGGGCACTTAACAGGACACACAGCCAAGGCACAGGCAGTCAAGAAGTCAATGTTTCTACAGGGAAATACCCAAAGACACGATGGAGCCGGACCAGGGATAACAGTCAACATCAGACTTTTGAAAATAAGATTATTTTGTTATTACTTTCACATAAGTATTCAGTTATTCCTTCCACTGCTGTTCCACAAACTAACAATTAAGTTTGTTGACTGGTCCTTTTTCAGCTTCTACTAATTATATCAGGAATAGACATTTTTAAAAATGGAAATGATTATTCCTCTGGCATCCTAATGCTTACTTTTCAGGCACCATTAAAATATCAGTTTTAATAGGGCTCTTCTTCCTAAACTCCATTATTAGTTCATTCAAATGGTATATAAAAATTGCTTTGTCTCAATTTTATTACAATGTGGTTTTCATTCTTAACTGCTACCATAACAAAGAGATTATCTATGCCTGGGATTCTGAACCACTCAGCATGTATGGTCTTAAGCTTTCTCTCAGCAGCACGTGATAGCCAAGGCACATTGTGGACTGAGCAAGGGTTGGGCTGTGAACTTATATCTGACCCCAGAATGTAAATTCTTAACAGCTATGGCAACTCTCTCTCTCTTATATTAAAAAAAAAAAAAAGTTTAAAAGGGAAAAAATGGAAGAAGCCCAAAGTTTTTAATTTATTCTAAGTTATTTATGACTTATTTTACTTAGAAGAAGAAAGGGAATCAAACTATAATAGCTTCCCATAAGAATAAGACTGACTCAATAGCGCCACCTGGAGGTGGGGTACAAGATGACCACCTTTATAATAAATGCATTTGAGAACACTTAAGCTATAATGAGGATCCAAAACAAAGGCAGCTTGAACAACCAAAGCTTTAGATCTAGTCATGACATACAATGCTTGAGAGCAGTCTTTCTGAGTTACCTTGGAGTCTTTTGCATAATAAAGCGTTCGGCCTCGAAGTTTGAAGTATCTCTTTTTCCACCTCTGGAAAGAGCTGGTTTGCTTCAGCAGCTGTCCTTCTTTAATACTGGTCTGGGGACAAAACAAAAACATCATGACAAGGTGAAAATGAAACCCCAAACCAAATATTCCACTCAGAATCAATGACCCATGTTTACTGTTCCTCAGAGTTCCAAACACCGTGGTCTACATCTTACAAATTACTAGAGAGACTATTTTGTTCACAACAGGGGTCAATCAAGAGAAGGTACCATAAAGTCCCAGGAGGTAAAAATGAATTGCACGTGGTTCTCAAAGAATGCACAGGTAGAACTGGCTACTGACAGTTTTGGGAGTCCAAGAGTTGTCTTCAGCTCTGTACCCACTGGTGAAGCCAGCAGGCTCAGTGGACAGTTTCAAACCCAAGGCCACAAGGACATCCCTGGTTAAGCTCAATCGGGAAACAAAATAAAAAAAGCAAGAATGAAAGAAAGAGAGTTGTGGGGGCACAGTTAGGAAGGAGGTAAAGAAGGTAGGCGTGAGAAGAGTCAGAGTTCATCTATGAAACTGTCAAAGGACAAATTTAAGTAATTTAACAAAGGAATTTGGAGACAGCATAAAAGGTACATGCATCTACCATCTGCAATATGGGGTGTCTTTCACACAGACTGTACACAGTGAGAGTTACAGATGCCGTGCCATAGGCTGAGTATTAACGCAAATGGCCTCCGGAACCAGAAACACATTTAACTCCCAGCTTCAATACAGGTACCTGCTGAACTTAAGACAAGTCTTTAGCTTCTTCGTATTCCTTTGCACAAAGGGCTTATTAGCAAGATATAGCTAGTATAACAAACAACAGACGCTTGTTAGATGTTAATCATTACAAGTAAACACATATACAAAGCGCTACATGCGGTGGCCCAGAAAAGAAAGCATCAGCTTTCAGGTACTTTGCCACAGCAACAGAAAGCAGATAAAAACAGGCTTAAGACGGCACAGACATCTTCAGAGAGCATTCTATAACAAACACAAGGAAGTGTTTCCAAAGGGGACAGCAGAAGGAGTGTCTGGCGGTGGTAGGAGGCCTTTGTGACTCTAGACTGGAGGAGTGCTTTATAGGACACCTGTTTACTTCCACTGTCTCTAGCAAAACACCTGAACTTCTCTACCTGCATCTAGCCTCTGACTCTCTCATGGACCCCTCCATCCACAACCACCCTTTTGCTTTTAATTTGGGAAACATGGCTCAGGCTCCAGTCCTGGCTACTGTCTGGGCCTGCCCTGCTCTTCCCTCGGAGAGCCATCTGGTTAACTCTTGCATGTCCTTCAAGTGTTTGGGCCAGGGGATGTTCATTTGTGTCCTGGTAATGTATACATGTTGATGCACATGGGTGTAGAGGCCAAATAATATTTGTGGGTGTCATTCTTCAGGCATCATCCAACTTTTTTATTAACTTTTTTCTCACCGTCCTGGAGTGCACCACACAGACTAGCCTGGCTGACGGCTGAGCGCCAGAGTTCCTCCTGTCTCTGCCTCCCCAACTCTGATATTACAAGAACACACAGATCACTAGGACCAGCTTGCTACAGCCTTGACCTCAGTGAGAACCATCTCAATGACCACCTGGTTGGTTGTGTTCTTGTTCTCTGTGTTCCCCCACTGTAACCTTACCCCACAAAATACTTTCCATGGTGTAATTTACTTAGTTTCTTTGCAAGCGTTATAATAATGCCTTACATTACCAATAAGCTAGAAAAGGTGAGAAAACTTTCTTGTTTGGTAATTTCTGAGCATGAGCTAATGGCTCATGTTAATGTTTACTTTGATTTTCAGGCAGAGGTTCACTTTGCAGTGTGCTTTAGAAGTGTCCACAGGGAGATCACTGCAATCTGATGCTAAGAAAATACTTCTGAAACTTTAGTACCAGAGAAACAGGTCTAGAATCAGCCAGACTTCAAACCAGGCTCTACAGCACACCAACGGCACAAACAGGTCACTCCACTTTTTTTATGATCCCATTTTCTATCCAAAGAAGAAAGCCAGAACAATATCAATTTTACAAGCTTGTTGCTTCTAAGTTCATGGTACAATAACATCTGGAGAACACTTAGCACAGTATCTGGGCTACAGAAAATCTCAGTAAGTGGCACCAAGTATTATTATGAGGATGATGATATCATTATGTTATTAAGTTCAGAGAGTATTTTCCAGGCACGAATTCTAAGAGCTTCTTGGAAAAGGTAAATAAGTGTTTGCCAGCCACTGTCAGGGCAAATAACAGCTGGAGCAGATGGAAAAAATCAAGACATGAAGTTTCAGGAGAGTCGGTATCTGCCAGCCACAAGGGGAAACCTGCCTCTTACTGCAAGTGCAAAAGGCTAGTGAAATGTTTGAAGCAGGAAAGTAGCTTCTACTGGACATGCTAGACAGCAAAGGCAGGAGACTTCATCTCAGGCAGCGAAATACAGAAAACTGGTCAGGACAGGGCTGTAAGGAGGGGCGGGGGCTTTGGAGAACCACAACTCAGAGACCCGTTTTCACATTCATATGAGAAGGGCAGTGGAAAAGGCTAACGCACTAGAGCGAACTGATGAAAACCAAGACCCTCAGCCCCCCAAACCACGACTCCTCCCCCGGAACAGCTCTCACCCACTCTCAGAAAATGGGGGCTACACACCGGGGTTACCATCCTAACAGATCCAACCAGCCCACGCTTAGGCACTTTCCTTGTGTTGTACAAGCAAGGTGGCTCATCTCTCCCAAGACCTGAATAAATTATAATATTATAAACTATGAAGAGCCTCTCACTTGACGAAGCAGCATGATGAGGTGTAGCGACTCACGGGACACCACACGACACCCACGTCCTTACCTTATCCCCACCTGCTTTGTCTCCTTCCACCTCATAGCTTTTCCCTTCAGTCCACCAAGCAACATATGTAACTTCTGCTAAAAACCTTAAACCCAACCGCAAAGAGTTATCACCTCTCAAGAGCCTCCTCTGGGAGAAAGAACAGATGGTACTCATGCTGGACTTTAGAAGGTCTGACTAGAAAAGTTTCAAACAGTCACTGGTCATGAGACAGTCCTTCTTCGGGTTGACTGTGGCCACTCCTCTGAGAGAGACTCCATAGAAGGGGCAGAATCCCAGGTCATCACCAACCATAGAGGCCGCTGATGAGTCTCTAAGGCTCAAGTGGCCCAGGAGCCTCTGTATGGCATTCACGCTGGGGACATAGCTGCACACTGAGGCACACCTTCAATGGCAAATATCTGCCTTTATGACCTAGTCCCTCAGGGTAGTCTAACTTATGTCTGGATTCCAAGGACATTGGTCACCAATCCCTCCAAAAGCTGTCACAGAGCCTCTAGTCTACTGACTCACAGAGAGGGGAGCAAAAGGCTCCCCTCTCCCCTACTTTTGAACTGAAGCTCTAGCTGTGAGATGACTGATCCCGATGTAGCTGGGGAGAAAGGGATAGAAGAATCCTTGGGACTCATTGCCGGGCAACCTAGCCAAATCAGCAAACCCCAGGCTCTGTGAGAAACCCTGCCTCAAAGACTAAGAGAGCAGCTGAGGAAGACACCTGACACTACCTCTGTCCTTCATACACCTGTGCTTATGCAAACACATAAAAACACACACACACATACAAAAACATAACATTTTTCACTCTGTGTTGCGGAAAATAAAAGGTATCGGCCTAATAATGTTTATTATTTGCCCTATAATTATTACGGTGGTTTTATCTAACCCACTATCATAATCAATTAAAGATACAGATACCTGTTAGATTTTAGATTTGCCTTATTTCACCTTGGGCTGGGTAGATAATCCCACCCATGCTATTATCTCCTAGTCCCCAGCCCACACCATCTGCTTTAACCATTCCTGTCTAGACTACTTTCCATCCATAATCCCAAAATACTTGCTGATATTCTTCATCTGGGCTATTCCTTTCCTCTCTTGGAGTCCTTCCTGCTGTCCCATGGGGTTCTTTTCTATCCCACAGCAATTTTGCTTTCTCCTTCACCTTTCTCCCCCTTCCCATGATCCTCTTCTTCCAAAACCTGAGAACCTTTGCTCCACCCACCTCACCTTTGCCCTGCCCAGGTATAGGCAGTTTTATTAGCCAATCAGGAGGCAAGGTAACACAAACATCATTTTGGGGTGTGTATGTAAGAATCTCTGGGGGCAAGATAATTAACATTTAATACAAAGTACTAGGCCATGCCACTACAACTCTGTGGGGCATTTTGGGTTTTGTTTGTTTGGTTGGTTTTGTTTTTTTTGTTTTTTTGGTCCCAGCTTATTTTAAACAGTAATTAACAATGCCTTCTGGGAAATCTGCTGATTTTTGTTTGAGACTATGGAAAAGCTTACTTATGCCTTAATAACTTATAATAGCTGAACAACAGTTTTCAATCTTAATCAATTCAATTTCATGACTTTGAAGCTTCAGAAGTGTTAAGTGTGACTCATAATGGGACAAAACCATAAAAAGCTTAAGTGGGAATGTGGGAAGAAAGATATTAGACACTATAGTGTGTGGTGATTTGAATAAGAATGGTCCCCATAGGCCACCATATTTGAAAGCTTAGTCATCAAGGAGTGGAACTACTTGAAAGGATTAGCAGGATTGGAAGCTACAGCCTTGTTGAAGGAAGTGTGTCTCTGGGAATATTTCAAAAGCCCAGGCCATGCCCCGTGTTTTTCTCTCTGTCTGTGGATCAGGTTGTAGCTCTCAGTGAGACACTGCGCTCTCTGCCATGATGATGGTGGACTGAGCTTCTGAAACTCTATGCCAGCCCTAATTAAGCGCTTTCTTTTTTAAGGCTTGCCGAGCTCGATCAATGGTGTCTCTTCATAGCAACAGAATAGTGACTAAGACATGTGGAAAGGGAGCATCAATGACCACATTTATGAGAGCTCTAGTGGGTGACTTTAAGGTCAGTCGGTCTTTAAAAAAAATCTTAGCTCAGCATTTATGCTTCGATAGGGAAAAGCAGCCCACACCTGAGTTGCTTATATGTTTCACAAGCATCTCAGTGGACACATGTTCTGCTTCTCAGCCCACCTAGGCAGACG